TGAATTGCGCGCCTTACCGTTTATTTTTACACATATTATCCAGGAAATGCCAATCTGTATCAGAGATTCTTGGTTTTATGTCTTTGGGTTATGCTCGATTAGCACACGTCAAAGGGCTCTAATTTTATTTTACATTTTTACTGTTGCTTTTGCTTAATCAGATTTATTTGCAGGAGTAGGTGAAGCATAAGAACACGAAATGAACTCGACGCCGGAGAAAATTCCCTGGAAGATACTACTCGTTTTGTAGATGGCACTACGATATACCCTTCCCCCAGTAGGGATTTGTACGTGGCAGCCATTTCGAGTAATTTTCAGTTGGGTCGCTGCATTTTGATGATGATAGTATGTAAGGTTTTAGTTTAAAAAACTTAAAATTGTATAGTCCTGTGATATTTACAATACCAGTAGTAAGTTTCAATAACATGTCAACATAAGATGTTGCTAGTTGGTAAGTCATTATTAAGTTAGTGTAAGTAGATGTGTCTATGTTGATGGACCTTTAATTTTATACCACGTATTCGGTATCTGTCAGGTGACAGAAGAAGATAAGTAATCCTACAGTGTTAGACAACCCCCAAACCCCCAGGGCCAGATTTTATGAGTAGCTCAGCCAAGGGACCAAAACTGAGTAGAATTCTAATTGTAACTGTAAGTATGAAGGAAACAGCATGATTATTTTAAACATTGCGGAATTAAGAAAATTGGAATGCATAGTGTTCAGAATATCAACCACATTCACATTATGAAGAAAGCAGTCTTCTGGGATTTGGCACCGTGTATATGTGGTGTTAACCGACGTTTCGGAGGAACGTATCGCCTCCATCTTNATATATTTTTTCTTCAACCCTGAAGATGGAGGCGATACGTTCCTCCGAAACGTCGGTTAACACCACATATACACGGTGCCAAATCCCAGAAGACTGCTTTCTTCATAGTCACCGCCGTGAAAGCCTCAAATCTTACACATTCAGATTAATTAGTAGGTGGATTTTAATTTCTGGTGATGTATAGCATTATATAATTGACAGTTACAGACTGGAGAGATGGTCACAAGCGAAGAAGGATGACATTGATGTATGAATGAGCTTGGGCATGCAGGAAGTTTTCCACCCCCTCCACACATCCTGTACAAGAGGTATGTAACATACAAAATGATGCTTATTATAGGACTGTATGCTGTAGTTTTGTGGGTAGCACTCTTGCTTTGTACACTTTCGGTCCTAACACAAATCCCAACCCACAGATTGGCTTTCCTAACAGAGACATTTTTTTTTATTTTCGCTCAGTTGCTTTGTACAGATACTGGAATAGTTACTCAGATTATGCCATACTCACTTCCTATGATGTTTCTTCTAATCCATTATTCACTGATCGTCCTGTCAGTGTGCTCTATATAGTGTGATTAATATGCAGCTCAGGCTTGGGCAGCCTTTCTAATTTTTTTTTTTAGTTTGACGAACCATTGAAATAATTATCAAGTTTCATGGAAACATTGCATGAAGATTATTATAAAGGCAGGCTCTGAATTAAAGTAAATAAAGTTTATAAATTGATAATCTTCAAGGAATGTTGTTGTGGGAACCCCCACGTACTAGCACGCAGCTTCGTCTGTCTAACAGACAGCATTCAACTTCTGCTCAAGCCAAGTCAATGTCACATCAGAGTCAGAGTCACGTTGCAACTGACGGTCAGTCAGTCTGTCTGTCTTGGTGTCGAGCCCCAGCTGGGACTCATGACCAGATATTTCTTTTGAATGAAAGTTACTGTCCTGTCCATGTGGGGCGCCCTCTCTGACGAAAGGTCGGGTCTGTATTACTTATCAGTCAGTCTGTATTAATATGTCCACTGTCTGTATTTACATAAATTTGCAATATACACTTATTTCTTACTTTTATGTACAATATATACAAGGCCTCTGTCAGTCCAGGCTCAGTACAGCAGATTACGCCCTATTTCCAGTATTATTCGCTACCACGGCAGTCTAGTCACTTGAACGGTCGTATGCCTGACCGCCGCCAAGTTTAAGCCTCTTATACTTTCTGTGGCGGGCTTCGCCTTGTCCGATGTTGCGAACATTCTCATTCTCATGATTTTGTATGACTTCTGCTTGTTGCCTGCATAATTTTGTTATAAAGTCATATACGTACGGGATTTTGAATGCCATGTGCAAATCGCGGACCGATGTGCGCCTCGGAAAATTGCCAATGGTGCAGGGAACCTTGTTTTGCAGGCGCTGCAATTTTACTAGATGGGTGTCTGCCACAAACTCCCAGGCGGGACTAGCATAAGTCATTACGGATCTAATGAGAGCTTTGTGGAGGGTCAGTTTAATGTTAGCGCTCAATCGCTCACTTTTGAATGGGGAATACACTCTAATGAACGTTCTGAAGGCCTTGGCTTCGATCATTTCTATGTGTAATCTCCAAGTTACTCTCTTATCGAAGATTACACCTAGATATTTTGCACTATTTACAAATGGAATGTTTCTTCC